CAAGTGTGGCTCCACTCTGACACGTTTCGTGCGCATGCACGTCTTCAGGGGTATGCCCACTGCTAACGTTGCATGCAGGCTCCATTTCAATAGCCTGCAAGGCGCAAAATCAATTATGCGGCACCATGTTCTCGGAGACCCGGAAGGAGTGGCCAATCAAAAAATACCGGTGACCATTTTCCCGAAGCCAAATGATAGTGATAGTGGTCACAATTCCGGAATGTGGGGAGAATACCACTAACACTCCGGAATGTGTCAAAAGAAAAACGGGTGTAGAATTAAAAAAACGGATGGTGTATGTAACTAATTGCGGTCAGTGGATTTAAAAAAAGTTTTTGTCACAACACGGGACACGAGTTTTTTGTCCTATGACAATAATGGAGTACAGGGGAGCTGGGAAATACATTACTCAGTAATGTATATCCCAGCTCCCTTGTACTCCATTATAGTGATATGACATGTATACAGTATGTATATCCCAGCTCCCCTGTACTCCATTATAGTGATATGACATGTATACAGTAATGTATATCCCAGCTCCCCTGTACTCCATTATAGTGATATGACATGTATACAGTAATGTATATCCCAGCTCCCCTGTACTCCATTATAGTGATATGACATGTATACAGTATGTATATCCCAGCTCCCCTGTACTCCATTATAGTGATATGACATGTATACAGTAATGTATATCCCAGCTCCCCTGTACTCCATTATAGTGATATGACATGTATACAGTAATGTATATGTAAATAAAGTGCAGTGCTTAAAAAATCACAAAAATGGCAAGTATTAGATCAAGATAAAAAGTCCTCCTGCAAATCAATGAAAGAGTATAGGTGCTCAGGTGTCTTGATCCTGGTATCTGTGTACATATATGATAAAGCAATGCGCACTCACCAGACCCGCATAAAGTATGCGCCTTTGTATATAAATAATCCAGATGTCATCCGGTAATGGGTGGTCCTCCCTCTGCTGTGTATGAGGCTGTTGATCCTCTCCAATTGGGGGTCCACCTGGTGTTTACTGGTGAGAGATATGGTCCGGGTCCTTCCGGTATATCCAGGAGTAGGTCTGTAAATTAGAGTGCTCTCAACAGCTCCGCGTGTGACAGCAGCCAGCAAGGTTGTGGTGCAGTCAGGCAGGGGAGCACGGAGTTGGCGGAGGGCTTTTGTCTTGCTCTGTACACTGACTGTACCCAGGATTTTTCACCTTGCTGGCTGCTGTCACACGCGGAGCTGGTGAGAGCACTCTAATTTACAGACCTACTCCTGGATATACCGGAAGGACCCGGACCATATCTCTCACCAGTAAACACCAGGTGGACCCCCAATTGGAGAGGATCAACAGCCTCATACACAGCAGAGGGAGGACCACCCATTACCGGATGACATCTGGATTATTTATATACAAAGGCGCATACTTTATGCGGGTCTGGTGAGTGCGCATTGCTTTATCATATATGTACACGGATACCAGGATCAAGACACCTGAGCACCTATACTCTTTCATTGATTTGCAGGAGGACTTTTTATCTTGATCTAATACTTGCCATTTTTGTGATTTTTTTTAAGCGCTGCACTTTATTTACATATACATTACGGACTTTTAGGGGTTATTGGTACCTCACTTGTGCTTAGCAGCTTTACAACATAAAGTACTAAGGCGCTTCTTTCCATTATCTTTATATGTATACAGTAATGTATAACCCAGCTCCCAGGTTTGGGGCGGGCCAGGGTTGGGGGCGGACCTGGGCAAGGTTGGGTGGGGCAACTGGTGGAGATTAAGTTTTGTGACTGGCTAGTAGGTCTGGACTCGATTTTAACCCCTAATATAGATAATATACAGAAAAGGAGGAGGAAAGGGGAGTGCAGTTTATCTTTAATGTTGCCAGCTAGGATTCCTATTTTATCACTTTTATTATCTCTTCAATATCTGCAATAAGAACAGTTTAATCCGATACTTTCTTTTTCTGGAGAATAAAAGGAAAAAACATCACTTTGTTTTTCAAGGTGATTCATTTATAGCAGTCCTTTTATGATTAAAAAAGAAGCTCAGTTTAGAAAACAAAAAATTGAAAAATAATGAACAAAAAATTTACTATACACCCCTACTCCCAGAGGGCTTGTATATGTGTGAATGATGTCATTGGATCATTTTGCAGGATCCTGGGAAAGCTGACTATCCTAAATCGCTCAAGTGCCGGAACCTACACAGTGCACCTTCTCATGAAATTCGGGATCCTAAGCTTTCCCAAGATCCAGTGGAGTGGCCCAGTGATGTCATTGGTGCCTACGGGATAAAATTAGGAGCCATGGGTGTTAGGTGGGTATTTTTTCATTTTTCTACAATCTTTTTTGATACATATTACTGAGAGTTGTATAATCAGGAGGCGAGGAGCGCCCAGGTAAATCCGGCCATACTTGGATTGAATTCAGAAAGAATTTTCTTTAGAAAATCTTTTCTAAGAATTTTCGTTCGAATTTAACACCATTAGTGGGTCACAGAAACAGACGATTTGCGTGTGACCATCAAATTTGAGTGATCGGGCATGTTGGAAATTTTTTAAAAAATTAACTAATTTTGAATCAATGATGGGAGAATCATGCAGGAGATGTAAACGAGAAAGAGATGAGCATGAGCTGTGAGATGAAAAGAAAATTCTGGGCCACGAAAATTCTTTTCTGTAGCAACACGAGGTGAAATTGAAGGCTTGGTTGGTCAAATTTCGAAATCAATGGTGGCACCATCGGATTACAAAATGCACGAAAATTCTAATTTTATAAAGAAAATTTATTTGGAATTCGACCCTGCATAAGTAGATCTTACATTTTCATGGCTTTCTTTACTTATGTTGCGGACCAGTTTGTTCATTTAAAAGGACCTCTTGAAAGCATAATACACAAAATAAAACTCTGTTGCTTTTGTAATCTTAAAGCTAAATCCAATCTTACTAACTTTGGCATCTTACTAAAAACAAGATTTTCAGTCAACCTACTTGGACCATTTAAGATAAACAGATTGGCTCGTCTTTTTTGCGATGCTAGTGCTGTCTTGGGCCTCCGACAAGTAGGGCAGACATATGTTAGATTTATTAACAGAGTTTCCTGTTACTCATTGTTAGAATCTTGAAAAGCACAGAGCATGTCATTTTTCTTAACACGCACTATGCACAAATCCAAGTTTTGCAATCCAGACTCGTGCAGCTGTGTGTTTACAGGCGCTAAGCAGAGAAAAAAAAATGAAGCAGCTGATGATCTGGGCAGAGGCTTACTGAGTGGGAGAGAAAAAGAGGATCTTTTCAGCTCTTTTGCCTTGCATGCTCTTTGTGCAAAACTGTCTTTATGTGCTATGCAAGAGAACATACATTCATTCTAAATCAGTAAGCATAAAACATTATTGTGTTAGTCACGCTTTGTACTCTGTGCATAGAGAAATGGTGTTGAAATTCAAAATGTATGAAAATCACTGCATGTTTGTGGAGTTTACTGAATGCATAAATGGACTCATATTGCTGGATGATAAAGGGTCATTGTTGCTTATAGTAACTAGTCAGATTCCATATCTTATTTTTCCAAGACAGAGCAGACAATAAAAGTATTAATCTGGCTGATATGGGTAAAGCTTTAGTTTTTCTATGCTTTCATATATTCTAGATTGGTCCTAAAGTTATTTAATGTACACTTCTCAAAAAATTAAAGGAACAATTTGAAAACACTTCAAATCTCAATGGGGAAAAATATCATGCTGGATATCTATACTTGTATGGATTGGATAATGTGTTAGAAACATAAGGATGCCCCATCATTTGGTGGAAATGAAATTGATCAACCTACAGAGGACTGAATTCAAAGACACCCAGACAATCAAAGTGAAAAAATGATGCAGCAGGCTAGTCCATTTTGCTGAAATTTCATTGCAGCAACTCAAAATGGTACTCCAGTAGTTTGTATGGCCCCCACATGCTTGTATGCATGCCTGACAACGTCAGGGCATGCTCCTAATGAGACAACAGATGGTGTCCTGGGGTATTTCCTCTCAGATCTGGACCAGGGCATCACCGAGCTCCTAGACAGTCTGAGGTGCAACCTGGCGGCATCGGATGGACCGAAACATTATATCAGAGTTATTCTATTGGATTTAGGTCAGGTGAGCGAGGGGGCCATTCATTGTTATTAATTCCTTCATCCTCCAGGAACTGCCTGCATACTCTTGCCACATGAGGCCAGGCATTGTCCTGCACCAGGAGGAACCCAGGACCCACTGCACCAGCATAGGGTCTGACAATGGGTCCAAGGATTTCATACCGATACCTAATGGCAGTATGGGTGCCATTGTATATCTTGTAGAGGTCTGTGCATCCCTCCATGGATATGCCTCTCCAGACCATCACTGACCCACCACCAAAAAACAGTCATGCTGAGCAATGTTAGGGGCAGCATAACGTTCTCCACGGCTTCTTCAGACCGTTTCACATCTGTCACAGATTTTAACTTCTCATAGAGCTTTCCAGGCTGCCGGCAATGGGGCTAGATGAGGCATCTGTGCATGAAAATGCCAGAATGTCATGCACAAGGGCTAAACACCCAATGTCCCAATGTGCATGAAGCCTTACTAGATGAAGTAGTTTTAGTAAATTGCTTATTAGCAGCCCTGAGTATTTTCAGTTTTCATAAAAAAACTTAATTCTAAATGTATTTATTTTTTTTTTTACTTATCCGATCTCATTTACAAAATGTGAAATGCTGGTCTTCTATTATTAAGCCTAGGTTCACACTATGAATCACACAGGATGCTGGTTCACTGCCGGGTACCCACACGCTCATGCGCGAGAAACGATACGCTTTGTGAATGGTCCGGCAGTCTTCTGGGACATGTCACGTGTCCCAGAAGATGGGGAGGGAGGACAACTCCGCAGAAGTGGGAGCAGGTGCCTGTCATATTCAGGTACCCCCCCCCCCAAAGGTCCACAGTCTCTGGTCATTCCCTGTACTGTGTCCACAGTCTCTGGTCATCCCCTGTGCTATGTCCACAGTCTCTGGTCATTCCTTGTGCTATTATATTGTAAAGCGCTTAGCAAACTGTTGGTGCTATATAAATCCTGTATAATATTAATAGTAATAAAATAATAATGTCCACAGTCTCTGGTCATCTCCTGTGCTATGTCCTCAGTCTCTGGTCATCCCCTGAGCTGTGTCCACAGTCTCTGGTCATCCCCTGAGCTGTGTCCACAATCTCTGGTCATCTCCTGTGCTGTGTCCGCATTCTCTGGTAATCTCCTGTACTATGTCCGCAGTCTCTGGTCATCTCCTGTACTATGCCGCAGTCTCTGGTCATCTCCTGTACTATGTCCGCAGTCTCTGGTCATCTCCTGTACTGTGTCCGCAGTCCCTGGTCATCTCCTGTACTGTGTCCGCGGTCCCTGGTTATCTCCTGTACTATGTATGCAGTCCATTGGTTCAGAATATTTTTTTCTTGTTTTCCTCTTCTAAAACCTAGGTGTGTCTTATGGTCAGGTGCGTCTTATGCAGCAAAAATCCGGTACCTCTAGGTTCACACCGTTTTCTGCTGCGTTTTGCAGAAACCCAGTACAGTCCAGTTTACATGATTTCCAATGGAACATGTTCACATCTGCATATTTTCACCCAACGCGTTTTTTGGAAAGGGTCAGGAACTTTTTTGAATGCAAAGTTTTTGGTTCTATAGACTTCAGTGGAGGCGCTGCAAAAAAACATGTATTGCGTTTTTGACGCGTTTTGCATTTTAAATCTGCCTAGCAGCAAGAAAATTGTTTTTAAAAAATGAAGAAAAAAAAACGCTTTAAAAACATGGCAAAAATGCTTAAAAAAACGCAATGCAGAAACAGCTCAAACGCAACCTGCATAGGTGGAAACCTAGCCTTAGTGTCATTTTAGTAGCATAGATAGAGCTGGAGCCATGCCAACTGAAAACTGCACAAGCAGAGTCTATGCTGCAATAATCAAGGATGTTTACAGTGATGATGAGACAATTTTAGTAACTCATATGGAAGGCTGTAAACTCTCTAGACCTTTTTTGAGATTTACTCATCAGTGTATGAAAGTGTCATGGTTTGTTTTTCGTACTCTTTTGCTATAATGTTATATTTAATATGCATTTGTATTCAACTCTTTATTTTTTTTACTTCTTTCAATTGTTACTTATTAACTTGTGAGAGTCATTGATTTTGTAAATCATTGTTGGCAGTAGGCTTAAATGAGTGTTTTCACACATTGATTCTAAGATTTTTTTCTGTGTTACATTTTGCAGACTTTTGGAAGTCTCCTATAAACATACAATCAAAAATATGCTCCAGCTTTTCACAAGCCTCTCCCCCAGGGCCACGTCAAGAGGGAGTCTCAACATCTACCTCTTATAAACGGCGTGCATTCTCTCCACACCAGAACGCCCTCAGAATTGGAATGTAGCCAGACCAACGGAGCTCTGTGTTTCATAAATCCTCTCTTCTTAAAAGTGCACAGTGAGGATTCAGGGGGAAGTTTGAAGAGGGAGAGCAGCAGAGCCCATGAAGCAAATGGCATAAAGAAGACAAGATCACCACCTCCCAGACCCCCTCCCCCTTCCATTAACAGTCATCGCACAAGCCTTCAGCTGTTCAGAGCTGTGCAGCCAGAGCCAAGCATGCCAGAAACACTTATTAATAGCAGGAACATTAACTTAGACTCCCCTTCTAAAACTGCTACACCGATTCCTCCTCCTCGCCTGAAGAAGCAGGCCACCATTAACAGGTGGCAAAGCAACGACCAAACACCATCGCTAAGTAGTTCCTGTAGATCATCTTTTGAATCTCAGCCCGAGGAATCGCCTCCACAGAAGACCATGCAGAATGTTACTTTGACTCAGAACTGCAAGTCATCTGGCACATTGCGTGTGCAGCGCTTGAGTGATATGAGCATCTCTACGTCATCATCGGACTCTTTTGAGTATGACCGCATGGTGCCCCCTTTTTACGAAGGTGACAGCTTGGAAGATTGTGAGGAAGAAAGCGACCAAGAAAGCATGGCACCACCCGTTAAGTCTCGGAAAAAAAGAGGGACTTCTTTGGGTCTGTCCAAAATTATGAAAACTCACCTGCGTAAAGTTAGTGGAGTCTTCAACTCTTTGGTGACTCCAGAGAAGAAGATGGTCAAAAAGATTACAGCCATGTCCAGGGACAAACGGACTTATTTTGGATGCCTTGTGCAGGATTATATCAGCTTTCTGCAGGAAAACAAGGACTGCCACGTCTCTAGCACAGATATGTTACACACTATCCGACAATTTATGACACAAGTCAAAAACTATTTGTCACAGAGCTCCGAACTGGACCCACCAATCGAATCCCTGATTCCAGAAGATCAGATAGGTAAGAGGAAATTCAATTCTTCTATAACAGTCACACACAGCAGGTACTGATTACACAACATCTTGAAAGTCACGTGAAAGCTACCCTCTGGAACTCATTTCACCCTACATATGCAGTTTTTCTTTTTCTCGATCTACCTTAAAATTGTTGCCCTTAAGTATGAATTATTATCCAGAAGTGACATGGAATATTTTTGTTAGCACTTCAAAAATAAGTATGTTAAACATATGTTTGGTTTGCTCTGTTTTTGTCTTTTATGTGATATCAGGGCATCAGTGCAGCTCCCATATACACATATGCACGACCCCCAGATGTTTTATATTTATCCATTAAAGTCATAACCCAAGATGTATAAACATAGTACAGGGGGGGGGACTCGCCATAAATAATAGAACACACTTGCTGTGTATTGCGTAATATTTTGCCGGGGAAACTGATGCTGTTCTAGTCCTGGACAGGATACTCTGTACTGTTGACGTCTCTGTATTCTGGCTGTGGCTGCACGTGATCATTGACTTGGGTAATCATAACATTTTGCAAAAGTCTATAGCTTTGTGGTTAGATGGCCTTCATGGGTTATTACAGAATAAATTAGCGTTGTGTGCATGAAAAGTAATGAATATAGAGTTTAAAGTATGTGAATTTTGGAAAGAATTATATGTGGTGGTGTGTGCGGTTTAGTTGGTCTTTTACAAAGAGCTAGACCAGTGGTCTCCAAACTTCGGTCTGGGGGCTGGTTGCGGCCCTTTGTTGCCTTTATCCAGCCCTTGAGGCACTGTTTTACCCTTCTGATTAAAGACTATTCTACCTCTGGCACCAACAATAGGGCCCTCCCCCTAATACCAAAGTGACAATGTTTACTCGCACTAATGTCAGGAAATAATCAAATCCCATTGGCCACAGTCTGGTCCCCTAAAGTCTGAAAGACAATAATTTTGGCCTTTGTTTAGAAAGTTTGGGGACCAATGATCTAGACTTTTAAAATGAAGTTTTATTCTATGTTTTGGTGTTGTATTACAGTCATCTCTTTTGGCAGTTCAGAGATTCACTTTCACCAGTCCCAGCACTTTTAGCTGCCCTCAGGAATTTCTGCTCCTTGATCCCACCCCATTTTTCTTGTTTTTTTTGTTTTTAGCCAAGAAGGTGCCCTGCCAAGCTACTCCCAGCTTTGAATCCAGGTTTTCATGTGGAAATAAAATTCAGAATAACATGTCTCTGGACTGGCACCAGCAACACTAATTAAAATAGTCTTCTGCTAGTCTCACTCGCCAGCATAAATGTTCTTAACTCCTAAGCTGCAGAACACAGTGGGGTTGACTTACTAAAACTGGAGAGTGCAAAATCTGGTGCAGCTCTGCATAGAAACCAATCATCTTCCAGATTTTTTTTTTTTTTTTTTTTAAAAGCTTAATCAAACAAGCTGAAATTAGAAGCTGATTGGCTACCATACACAGCTGCACCAGATTTTGCACTTTCCAGTTTTAGTAAATCAACCCCTATGTTTTATCCTGAAGAATATTGATATGTGTGATAATCATCCATAGATATGCAATGTAATCCCACAAAAGTAAATTTCAAGATTATTTAATAGGTGCTGTTTATATTAGGTAAAGTACCAGCTTTTGTTTGAGGTTCTCACATACACGGGCAGACTGACCATTTGGAAACTCGGGCACTGCCCGAGGGCCCGGTGTCAGTAGGGGGCCCCATGAGATGCCCCTGGTAACTTTTTCATAGGCTTTTTTGAGTTTGGGCAAGGACACAGGGGTCCCATGATCCCCTATTGCCCGGGGGCCCCATGAGTTGTCAGTCCGCCCCTGCACATACATGGCCCTAACAGATCTGATAATAAACATGAATGTACAAATCTGATAGTTCTAGGTTTCCATCGCCTAAACTGAACAAGTGAGAGGTGGTGGTTCCGATCCAAATGGGTTAGCTTTGATAAGATTAAAGCATTTCCAAAACATTAACTGTCCATCATACAGAATCAAACATTTGCCATGGAATTACAACAAATCAGAACTTGACACATTTAGTTATTTGGAGAGTGTCCTGTGGTTGTTAGTGTTAGTAGGGATGCCTGTACGTAGCTATAGTAGACTACAAATCCCTCCTGCTACATGCAAATGCCTGTCATTCACTTCCTGTCAGTGTCAAAGTTTGCCCGCCCCTTCCTGCTCATACACATTTCTTACTGCCCAGTAAGGCAGGCCATCATAGTAATGGACCAAAAGGAAAGGGGAAGAGGCAGGTTTTAATACTACTACTTTATCAGAATGACCCAGTATTCAGGTGTAGCAGTGGAGATCTTCAGGTAATTGCACCAGATAGCATCTAGTGGTACTACGCTTGAATTCAGTGAGCTCCTGATAGTGACCCATTCTTTCACAAATGTTTGTAGAATCAGTCTGCATGCCTAGGTGCTTGATTTTATACACCTGTGTCCATGGAGGTGATTGGAACACCTGAATCCAATGATTTGGAGGGGTGTCTTAATACCTTTGGCAATATAGTGTATCTTTAACTGTGTTGTGTTGTTTTTATAGTGTGTGTATGTAGAGATTATATATGCACTCATTGGCCACTTTATTAGGAGGTACACCTTGCTAGTGCCAAGAAAATAACCCCCACACCATCACACCACCACCAGCCTGTTGATACAAGGCAGGATAGATCCATGCTTTCATGTTGTGTACTCCAAATTCTGACCCTACCATCTGAATGTCGCAGCAACCAGTCTGCCCATTCTCCCCTGACCTCAGACATCAACAAGGCATTTTCGTCCACACAACTGCCGCTCATTGAATAGTCGTCTTCACCACGTCTAGATGCCTAAATGCATTGAGCTGCTGACATGTGATTGGCTGATTGGTCATTTATGTTACCAAGCAATTGAACAGGTATGCCCTATAAAGTGGCCGATGTGTGTGTATATATATATATATAGATATATATATATGTATATATATACACCAACGCTGCCAAGTTCAGCTGCTGCTAGGATAGGGTGAGAGAGAACACACTGGGCATGCACAGCATGTGTGGCTTTTAAACCATGAAACGCACTCACTCCTGCCTAATGTCTGCTGTGTCCTTGAATATTTGAGTGTGAAGATTAAGACACCATAGTAATGTGTTAGAGTTCAAAATGAGATTTGATTTCAAATGTATCATAGATGCTGCTGCCGATGCATTTCAGGCTGTAACATCTATTATACGTTTGGAATAATGTGTGGCACCTTAATCTTCAGACTCAAATATTACTTCCATATTCCGAGGTTACTGTGGCAGCTCCACGGATCAGATCATGAGGGATACAGGATACTACCAGCACAGGTTTGCTAAGTGCTGCAATAGCACAAAAGAATTCTTGACCTAAGTTTCCAGGACCGTCAGTCTACCACTTCGAGTGTCCTGGATATACGTCAGGATATAGGAATGTAAACACTTGGAATGTTTCAGCCACGCTCTATAGGTGACTGAAAAGGCCTATGGGTATTGCATTTGCATTAAACAATATTTTTACAAATGGCACAGTGCATTGTAAACTCTTGGGTCCTATGTCTGTATTTAACCTGAGATGTTCTTCTATTTGTATTGCACATAGACAATAAAAGGAACATTTCTTTTCCTGTGAAGTGTCAGAAAAAGAACATTTTGGATCCAAGCTCCCAGCGTTAGACATTACCTGCCTGGCATGTCATGACGAAATGTATAATTCCACAATAGCATAACAGCTGAAGGTGGCCTACGCTTGCTTCTTCGTGGAGAGGAGTGGCAGCATTCAGGGAAAGTTTCTACCTGTGACTCGAGTGTTGTCTACAAGTGTATTCTCCCTCCCTCCATCTATAGACATGAATAACCCATACAAGTATCTGTTCCACCTACGGGTTTCTGTGGGTAGCTATTCCTGGTACCATTCCCAATGCACATATATTAGCAGGTCTGTTCTACAGAATGTATATATGTTTTTTTATATATTTTTAATGCCTGAAGGGATATAGGCTTGACATATATAAAAACAGTCTTTGTTCTTTAGAGCTCTACAATGTAAAAGAAAAAAAGAAAATTGCCCATGTGTTCACTATTAGGTTTATTTTACACCAGCAACATCTACTGAATTGGGGGTTTTCAGCAACACATAAATGTGTGTTGAAGGAAAGTGCATTCACATCAATTTATATCAGATGAAGCCACCCCAATGGAGGGGGGGGGGACCAGCCTACCTTCAAATTCAGTGCTGGGAATCTTTTCTGTCTATAAGAATGTTACTACTGCTCAGACCTATATCCATTACTATGCAACCTGGTACTTTGGGGTATGGAGGCACATGTGACATGTCACCTGTTTCCCACCATTAGGAGCATGTGACATGCCTTCCGACTTCCTGCAATGAGTGGCCAGTCAGTAGGCCCAAATGCTATGACATGGAAGAAGTGGGCATGCATTGAGTGTGAAATTGTCAACAATATTTGGTATTGTTAACAATTGCTGGTAACTGTGTAGGGGCAGTGACAGAGATCTGGGTAGTAGTCAAATTAAGTATAGGCATTGGGGGGGGTCCTTGCACAAGGTGGGGTGGCTGTGTTTTGGTCTCCCCCCCCCAACAGGTTGACTTAATGTGTATTTCCTACAAAATAAAACTGATTAAAATACACATACTAGTTTATTTGTAGACAGCAATCAGACACATTGTGAAGTTCAACACGGGGATGCAAAGGTGTTGCATGCCTACCTATTCCGGCAGTCAAACCTTTGTTGTCTGTTGGAACATAGTGGCTGCATAGATACAGCCGCTGCCTCCAATGTGACATGCTGGTGCATGGCCCCAAATGCACCCCGGTTGCTGGCATGGGGATGCACACAACAACTGTGCTTCCCTGTGCCATTAAATCACTGCCCTGCATGGGGTACGAATGTAATTGCCTTGTGTAAGTGAGGGCTAACCATCTGATTGGCACCATTCATTACCATTACACTCATATTAGTACACTGCT